TTTTTTTTTTTATTTTTACCAAGGGCCCTTGACTGTTTTCCTCTGACTGCTGGAGAACTATTCCTGGTGCAAACAGCCAATTTGTAACTGTGATGTGTTGCGTTTACCATAGATGCTGTCTGCATTAGGTTAGCACACTTTCTTCCAGCTTCAGTGGATTTTTACCACATACCAAACACTAAGGGCCGGTTCACACCATAAACAGTGCGTTCCAGAGCGGCAGGAGGGGGCGTGGCAGTGCAATGAAGGCAATGGCACCGCAGCCACGCCCCACCTACCCGCAGTGAGATTGCACGTACCAGAACACGTGGCACATCAGTGCCTGCGTTCCAGTCCAGTGAGATCTGCAAAAATGCTGCAAGCACTATTTTTGAAGATCGCACTGGACTGGAACGCAGGCACTGGTGTGCCACACGTTCTGGTGCGGGTGGGGGACGTGGCTGCAGTGCCATTGACTTCAATGCACCGCCACTGAACGCAGGAAGCCGGCCGGAATGCGATACAATGCGTTCCAGAGGCTGACCGCTCTGGAAAGCACAGTTTATGGTGTGAACCGGCCCTTATTGTAGATTTGCAGGTACTTGTGCGACGGTAGAACTGTCCTTTGATTGTTAGGCTACATTCACAAGGGCACTTATGCCGCGTTCTGAGATTCCTGCAGCAAGTGTCCCTATTCAGAGGTAGCCGCTGTACCCAGTCAAGTAAAGGGCAGGGTACATGGTGCGATTACATGCAATTTGGGATAGATTATGGTCCATGGATGCAGGATAGATGGGTCCAGCGACAATAATATACCCCAAACCACATGTCATTGTACCATGTATGACGACATGTGGACTGCCGGCTGACAGATGCAGCCGATGTCACCCTATCCCAAATTGCATGTAATCGTACTGTGTGCCTTTACTTGAATGTGTACAGCGGTCGCATCTGAACAGGAATCCGTAGGTTCTTGCTGCAGGAATCCTGTAAGGCACCATGCAAATGCAGCCTAAGATGCAATCATATTTGTGGTAAATATTTGTGCTTTAGAAACAAAAGAAATAACTAGCTTTTGTAGGTCAAATCAACATTGCTGCTTGAAAAAAAGGAGAAAAGGTATCCTAATGACCAATGATTAAGCCTATAAGACTGCAACGTTAAGAATAGGCTGATGTATCACCGTGACAAAAAAAGAAAACAAAGATATTGGAAGACGTATAAAAAAAAAAAAAACATTTTTTCTTAAGGTGAATTGGAAAAAGGGATTCCATCATGTCCTAGAAAATCACTTCTTTACACAATTACATTTTCACCTTCAAAGCTTGAGTGCGTCACCAACAGGAACCCCTTCCGACTTGGCATTACTGGATGTGAAGTTTGACTATGAATGTGTGAGTACTTGTCAGGGGAGTTTTAGAGCAGTAGTTCTCCTTCATTGTTTATAGCCTTGCCGATAAACAAGTCCACCTTATGGATGGAACTTATGCGCAAAGGTGCTTTGAACGTTTTCATTGCTTTAAGGTGACACTAAACTCAAGAGTTAAATCTTAAAAATGCATTCAACTGCCCAAACTATTAACAAAAAATTTAGATTTTCCATCAGCTGTAGATTCTCAAATCATCTCTGAATTGGTGCGGACATTGTCCTTCCTTCTGGAGGGTGGCTACTTTTGTTCCCCATGGTGTCTGTGTGTGTTTTAAAGTAGCTACTGCTCCAAGCTCCCTCCCGTGATGGACTACAATCTCAATACAAATTAGTAAACACTGTCCTTCCTTCTAGAGGGTGGCTACTTATGTTCCCCAAGGTCCCTGTTGTAAAGTACCCACTGCTCCAAGCTCGCTCCCGTGATGGACTACAATCTCACGTTTAGTTTACTAATTTGTATTGAGATCGTAGTCCATCCCAGGAGCGAGCTTGGAGCGGTGGCTACTTTACAACAGGGACCATGGGGAACAAAAGTAGCCAATCTCCAGAAGGAAGGATAGTGTCAGCATGAATTCAGAGATGATTTGATGATCTACAGTTGAGTGATACACAAATAAGATACATTTTTGTTAATAGGGTACTTGAATGCATTTTTAAGATTTAACTCCTGAGTTTAGTTTCACTTTAATGCTGTGATCTTGAAGTTAGAAATGCACAGTGTAAACTGTAACTTAAAAGTAAATGTGTTGCATACGCTGTTAATCATTTTCAGACTCAGAACCAACACCTATTTAGGGAAGAAATGTCCCCGTGGATTGGCTAATCAGAGCTTTGAGAAGGGACAGTAGCTGGAGCCAGAAGATACATACACGATTACCTTGACTGGAGATAACAGGCCGAGAGACAGAAGAGGAAACATTTGCAGGAAAAGAAGAGCTGGAAGCAGTGAGCCGGAAGTCCTCACTCATCTGACAAATAAAGTAATATAAGAGAGCATGAGATGAGCGGAAGACTCCACAACACTCAGACAACAATTAGAGGAAGAGATACGTTGTCATTTGCTGAACTACATTCAGTTGCATAATAACATTTGAAAATATCTTACAGTGCAAAGTACTTTACTTGGGGAGTTAACCTGTTTCACTAATAATTTGTGTATTATTACATTTTAATCACTGAACTGATTAATCAGATTTTCTATGGTAGGACAGTGAAATATGCATCTTTGTAAACAGTATAGAGTCTATTTATAAACATTTTCATACAAGATTCACACAACATCCATCCATGATTCACACGTTAATTGGATTCCATTGGAAAACGTGTGAAACCTGAGTAAAAGCGCTCCACAACACCTGAAGATTTGCTACCATGAGAACAGACGGATTATGCCTGCATGTCTGATCACCTTTTTTGCCTATAGGTAGCCGTTTTCCTGTACAGGTGCTTAAAATATTTACTGCGGCAAAATAAAAATGTTTACATTTTGTTATTCTGGGAAAGGTGTCTATAGTTGTCCAAAGAAATCACACAACAATCAGGAATTAAACATGTCTACACTCCCACAGAATCAACAATGAAAGCAATTATTCAAAAATAAATATAACAAAGTATACTGACAAGTTCAAAATCTAAATACCTCTCAAAAGGGAATATTTCAGTTTTGTGTGGTTGCAGACAATACGTTGCTTTCTAATAAGTCTTGGGAATGCCAGCGGTGAGAAATCACTACTCAAAACCCAAGTTAAAAAAAAAAACAACTCACAATGGCTATCAAAAAGGTCAAGTGATGGTGCATTCAAAAACATAATACTTCTACACACAGGTCTTTGTCCTTATTAAAAGCTCTTTCACTTTACTGCATAACAGGGACGTGCAGTAAGGTCCGTGCTAGGTGAGGCATTCCCGCTGCCCCCAGCCCGCCGACACCCCGCCCCATCCTACCCCCAACCCGGTCATTGAGCTATGTGTGGCGGTGGGAGGGACAAAAGGAGGAGACCGGGAGGAGCCTCTCTGTCCCTCACCTGCTCGTCACAAGTGAGGCCTCCAGATAGATGTCCTCAGTGTGGTTTTTTTTGAATGGACAGCTTGGACCAATGGCTCTTTGCCATTGGTCCAAATAATCCACAGAGCTCAAGCCTTAAACACTTCAGCTTCAAGCTTTTTCTTCCATAATACTAGGTGCCTAACCTGCCTCCCCTGACCGCACGTCCCCACGTCCCTGCTGCATGGTAGTACAAAACAGTCAAGCTCCCATTTCACATAGCTACACTTTGGACCATGTCTAGCCCTTTATCAACCTTGCTATGCCAGCTTGTTAGGTAGGTAGAGTTGGATTTTAGACAATATCAGAGCCAACAAAAAGGAGGCTTAAAACACAAGTCTGATATGTAAATGTCCTGTAACATGATTCAGCATGCTTAAAAGATATTATTTAGCTAAACCTTATCCATGTCATTGTTACACATTTCTCTAACATGTTTTGAAAGCCAATCTTAAAATCAATTTGATTTATCATACTTGCTAAAATATGACTGGTTGTGAAAACCGCTTTAAAATGTTCTAAATGTATCTTTTTTTATTACTCTTTTAGGACAGTGTAGACTTAGGCTGGGTTCACATATGCACGTTGCGCGGTTAAAAAAACGCGCGACAAACGCGCGTTTCGCTACTTGGCTGTATCCCAATGGAAACGCGCGACAAAAACGCCCCAAAGAAGCTCCTGTACTCCTTTGGGCGTAGGGCGTTTTGTAGTGCGTTCATACGGCCTGTAATACGCCCAGGTGTGAACCATACCCATAGGAAATAATGGGATTTCGGTGTTTGAGCGTTTTGCAGAGCGTAGGAACACGCTACAAAACGGCCAGGTGTGAACCGGGCATAATGCAGAAAAATTCTGGCTTCTCACTTTAACTTGCCTATGGTTATGTATGTTACACACTTCCCCAAGAAATAGCATAGCTAAAATAACAATAATGATACATTGAAATAATGTTGCTCAACAATATTGTACAGCAAATCAGACAACATTTTCATGCAGTTCAGCCTACTCCTTGTGCTACTGACATCTGATTGTCAGTTATACACCCTCTGTACACTATTGGCTCCATTATAATAGTAAACACATAAAAATAATGAAATTTACAATAAAAAAAAAAAGACTATCAACTAGGCATCTAGAATGCCTAGTAAACTACTCCAACACAGGGTTTTTATGGCTTTCACTCTGATGACACTTGGAGACATCAGGGCTGCTCTATAGGCGTCCTGCCCCCACTGAAAATTGGGTACCCTACATAAATCAGCCAAATAAAAGCCAATTGTTTGAAAACAGCCAAAATGACACTTAAAAAAAGAACTAAACTCTTTACTCTGCCAAGGATGGTGCCATCTTGGCCTCTATTTGGATATGCAGTTGCTATGGTGCTGGACTTGTGACCAGCTATGACACCAGCTATTTGAGGGCTTGAAAGATTAGTTGAGAGCCAACATATGGGCAACTGTGACAGTTATCACGAAGTGTAGCCTTTAGTGTAGCACACACTACCCATGCACTAGCAGGCTGCATATAATTATTGAGTAAGGGTTAAATGACAATAAACACTTTTAAAACTGAGCTTTTTTTTGAAACCGTTATATTGGTGGGTATAGTTCCATTTGACATACAGCGGTTAAGGTGTAAAACATGTTTGGTGCTTCATTAATGCAGAGAGGACAGACCCTCTAATCTACTAAATGACAGCAGCTCTAGTGGTCAGAAGCATTTGGTAACCGTTGTTCTATCTGTGGCCTAAAAGTGAGATAAAGCAACAGCCAAAATAGAAAGTAAACGCATTGTGCTCACTGTGTTATCTTTCTTTGAGGAAAGGCAACGATCTGCACCTAACCAATTAAGCGGTGAAGGGAACTGAGTAGGTCTGAAGGCACAGAGCAACTGCATCAAACACCAACAACAAAAATAATGTATCCATTTTATCACTGAGCATTTCTTTCAAAGAAAAAAGTAAAGTCTTTAAAAACATATAAAAGATATTGGTAATGTTATCATCAAAATCTTGCAATGCTTTAAAACAACCTTGTTTCTATGTATACAATTTTAATTATTATCCAACCATGGGGACAGCTATACATGCTTATTACATATGCATTGCTACACAATGGTTGTGTTTTACGGCTTCTTTGCACAATACAACTACCGTAGAAGTTGATCACCTTATTAATAGCAATGCACTACCTATATGACCAACACCAGAACTGTGTTCATGAAAGTGACTTCACTATGTTTTAAACAGTGCCAGAGGTTTGAAAAATGTGTAAGTGTAACATAGGTAAGGTTTAACTAAATAGTATCTTTCAAGCATGCGATTCATGTTACAGAACATTTACATGCAGTGTTTGTTTCAAGCCTCCCTTTTTGTTGGCTCATTATTTAAAACCCAGTGAAGTCACTTACAGCTAGCCTACAAATAACTATATTTAATACAGTATCAAAAGCAAGCATGTAAAAAAACTGAAAGTTGTATACTAGTAATTTTATATATATCTATAAAATTCATTTACAGCATGTGCTCACTGAAAATACACTATAAATCAACCTTAAAGCCCAGTTCACACCTGCAGGAATGCGCATCCCCATTGATTTAATTGGGTTGATAGTCATGCAGCAAAAAAGCTCATGTAGTATATTTCGTGTTTGGTGTTTTCCGCACTTTTTTTTTTTTCTTTCTTCACAGAAAGATAAAAACACGTGTCTTGCTGGCCATGTTTGTGGAACCATTAAGAAAAAATGGCACCACAAGCGCGTTGTGTGTTTCCGCGAACCTGTGCTAAGCGCATGTACATGCGTGCTTTGCCACGCAGGCACAGAATGCGCAAGTGTGAAGTGGGCCTAAGGTGTTTGTGATCAGTGTCTAATTTGCAAGCAATTCAGCTCAATTTAGAAGATCAGAAATGATGATCTCTGTCTATGTATGAGCTAGCACTGGATGAAGGTCGAGATAACTCAGCAGAACTGTGCCCTCCATTGGTGACCGCTTCTGGTAAGCACTGCTGCAACTGATCTATGCACGCAGCTGCATTCCCTGTAGGGCTCACTAAACATTATTAGCTTCAGCTCTTTCTTGCTTGCCTATGACAAGACATGGACCCTCAGGAAAACCTAGTTGTATTTTCTGGACTATACGAATATGCTTCCAGCCGGCAAGAAATTATTACTATAAAAAAAATAAAAATGAAAACCCAATACCAGTGGAGTAAAGGCAAGGAATTCCCATCAAAACTGCAGTATTAACTGCAGTGCAATTACAGTGCATTTTTAATGGGCACATATTTTTCGTTATTATTGTAATGTTTAACAAATGTTTGATACTCTTTTATACTTTGTTTTTGTATTAACTGTAGATTATCTACTAGAAGCAGAGTAGTTACACAACTAGACTGCATTCATAGCAATGCATTATGATAATGTGCTGTAAAATTATTTTAACCATATGTTATGCATAGTACAAGTTACGCATAGTAATGCACTGCAGCTACGTGTTGTGGTGCCATTCATTTAGAACAGCACTCGAAAGCACAAGTACAGTCAGTGCCAACTGAGCCAAGCTGCTTTAAAAAAGGTGAAGCAGAATATCTATGATAGTTCCATTTTTTATAATGTACAGGATGGTAGACAGTACTCTCTACCTGAAGTCTGTTCTGGTAAAAATGGAATGAAGTATTGGGGTTTTCACTAAAATGTTTGTACAAAGCATCCAGCCTTAAATGTATACCTGTTTATTTAAATGTGAAAAATGAATAAAAGACTTTGAAAATAAAAAAAGGTGAAAGTTCCGTTTTTGTTCTGGTCAAAATGAATAGACTGCCTTAACACAAAGCATTTTAACATGTGCAATGGACCAGCCAGGTGTGATATGGCACTTAAAATAAGATTTGATTCACTCAGGGAGTTCTTTATTATTAAATAGTT